ATTCTGTAGCATTTAGCTAGTTGCAGGTAGTATTATACTGTGAAATACTTGCAACCAAAAACTTGTTTCTCCTCAGTCTTCCCAACAGATGGCAATACAACACTACAAATAAAACCACATATTTGGTAGGAAGTCTCAAAACAGAGGAATATTTTACCAGTGAGTTTATTATATACTGGCACACAATCTGAAAGAAAAAGGCAGAATTTTTCAGTATGGGATGCTTTCCCACACAGATCCTGGAAGACGTGCCCGCACTGAAGATTTAATCTAACACATGCAAGCATGTACATTGTTCAATATTGCTGCAATATTGCTGCAATGGGTTATTTGAAGCTATACAAATCCATTTACTTCTACTTTCCACTGTGAAGGACTTAGTATAAATTCACTCCAGTTTTAAAACAAATAGAACAACAATCACCGTGAAAGGAAAAGACAGCTAACTAAAGGGAGTCTTAAAATGTTCTACTTTACATCACTTCTTCGAGTGTGGATGCCTTCCTGATATAAACATGGGGTCACTACTAAAAAAACCCTCAAGATCCAGAAGTAGCAGCTTTACCAAGTCTTTTAGAGTAGATAGGCTCACAGCCCTGACCAGAGGACTGGAGATGTCACACAGGTTAATATCTGAAGAGATGGTCTTTCAAGTTACTTACTCAACAAATTTATACATTTCAATGAAAATCAACGAATTTATAAATTTATTTATACATTTATGCATTTCCCTTGTGGCTTAAGGCAACTTACAATTGCAAGAAATAAAAAGCTACAAGATACAGTAAAACTCCCATTAACCTCCACTTCTTTCCAAGAAAATAACTGCAGCTTAAACCCCATTCAAGGCACATGCAAAATGGTCTTACAAACTCGTAAAAACTTCCCCTTCATGGAATCCATGGATCATCAGAGGATCACTAGTAGATGTCAAGTGAACCACCTTAACTGGAGAGGCGGCAACTAGAAAGTGGAAACCAGAAAACTCTAGTCGATTCAGAGGCATAACGGGAAAGATGATCCTTCAGATACGTGATTATTGGTTTCTGGTTTGTGACTCGCCATCTTCAGAGGGATCCCAGGAGAGCTCCTGAGGAACCCCTGAACCTCCTGGTCTCAGTGGGAGATCCGGAGAGATCCAGACTTCCCAGAGCCTTCCCGAAGGGAGGCTCTTGTAGGGGGCTTGAATTGGGGTCTCTCCCATACAGTGGTTTGAGAGTAGACCGCCCCAGAGCAGGGACCAGGAAGGGAACGCTCATGTTTCGCCATTGAAGCGTGGAGGCGCAATTGGCCGATTCTGGAGCTGTACTCCGACTAGAAAATCTTAATCTTCAAACTCTCCCTTTTGCACCATGAGTAGCTTGAACTCCATCTGAGCATTCTGAACTGATACTTTGCTGTTTGTATGGAAGAGTGGCCCATTTTAACTTTAAATGACCTGGGCGAAAAGAAAGAGAAAGGGTGGAAGGACTCTCCCCCCCCCAGCTTGGAAATGCAACCCAGGCTCTTTAAGGCTTACTATAAAAAGAGGACCTGGAAAGCAAAAAAAAGCTGATTCTTATGGATTTGAGATTGTGGAATATATAGAAAGCTTGATACATTTTCTTTTTTTAATGGAGACCGTAACCTATTTTTTTCTTTGAGGGTGTCATGACCCCCAAGGGGGTTGCCACCTTCAGCTGCTACCACTCTGGACTTCGAATCCCTTGAGAAGGCCCAGAGTACCCTCCCAAGACCATCCAAAATGCCCCCTTTTAAGCCAAGAACATAGGCATGATGACCAGGCAGAGAACATTAAACAAATGGTTTATTAACACAGTGATGAGGCAAGGAAAACCAGACAAGGTGCTTTAAAATATATAATAATGTTTAAAGGCAAAATAAACAACTCTTAACGCAACTACCTATTTCACTTTGGTTACTACTTCAAGGCCCACAGCCCTCTTATACCAGGCCTCCTGGCGGGATTTTTCTCCTCAGACCAGACTGTCCCCTTTGTGAGAGAGAGCAGAAGAGAAAAAGAACACAGTTTCCTCACAGCACACAGAGTTTATATCACAGTCCCCTTCAGTTTAGCTGTGTGAGAGGGAAAAAAAACCATTTTCCACAGCCCACAAAGTACGTAACAATCACCTCAAAGAATCCCTGGACACTGATCGGTTACAACCGTCACTAAGCATTGTGAGGATTGTAGGCTGTGTCTGCTTTCCACCGCCATGCAGGTCTCTCCTGGGATCAGGCCACACTAGGCCTTGCTCCCAGTCCTGCACAGAACACAGTGGGGTACCGCAGGGATCAGTACTTGGTCCACTGCTTTTTAACTTGTTCATTAATGACTTGGAGATGGGAGTAAGCAGTGAAGTGGCTAAATTTGTGGATGATACGAAGTTGTTCAGGGTGGTGAAAACCAGTGAGGATTGTGAGGCACTCCAAAGGGATCTGTGTCAAAGATGGGCGAGTGGGCGTAAACATGGCAAATGGGGTTCAATGTGGCCAAGTGCAAGGTGATGCACATTGGAGCCAAAAATCCTAAATATTGATGGGGGTCTGAACTGGCAGAGACTGATCAAGAGAGAGATCTTGGAGTTGTAGTAGATAACTCACTGAAAATGTCGAGACAGTGTGTGACTGCAATAAAGAAGGCCAATGCTATGCTGGGGATTATTAGGAAGGGTATTGAAAACAGATCAGCCAATATCATAATGGCCCTACATAAATCAATGGTGCGACCTCATTTGGAATACTGTGTGCAGTTCTGGTCACCACACCTTAAAAAGGATATTATAGCTTTGGAAAAAGTGCAGAAAAGGGCAACTCGAATGATAAAAGGGTTGGAACACTTTCCCTATGAGGAAAGGTTAAAGCACTTAGGGCTCTTTAGCTTGGAGAAACGACGACTGAGGGGTGACATGATTGAGGTTTATAAGATTATGCATGGGAAAGAGCAGGTAGAGAAAGAGGTACTTTTCTCCCTTTCTCACAATACAAGAACTCGTGGGCACTCCATGAAATTGCTGAGCAGTCAGGTTAGAATGGATAAAAGGAAGTACTTCTTCACCCAAAGAGTGATTAACACTTGGAATTCACTGCCACAGGAAGTGGTGGCAGCTACAAGCATGGACAGCTTCAAAAGGGAATTAGATAAGCATATGGAGCAGAGGTCCATCAGTGGCTATTAGCCACAAGCTATAGATAGGGGTCTGGGGCAAGTAATGCTCTGTCATCTTGGTGCTTGGGGGGGGGGGTCAACAGTGGGAGGGCTTCTAATGTCCTGGCCCCACTGGTGGACCTCCTGATGGCACTGGTATTTCTGGCCACTGTGTGATACAGAGTGTTGGACTGGATGGGCCTTAGGCCTGATCCAACATTGGCATCTCTTATGTTCTTATGTTCTTAACCAGTGAGCAAAATGCAGCTGACATAAGGGACTCTTGGTCACCACAACAACCTACTTTTCCTACAACAAGGCTGGGTACCTGAGCATCATTAAAACGTTACTATTTAAAACCAACAGAATAAAACCCCAGATACCCCCACAAAGATGCCTGCATATTGTGCCAGATGAAGTTTCTAGGTTGTCCTACAAGGTAGTCCCACAAACAGTGTTACAATAGTATAGCTTCAAGGTTACCATATCATGAATCAGCCTGCCTAGGTCAGCCAAGTCTAGATAAGAAGCTAACCACCACACTAAATTACATTGGGGAGAGAAAAAAACAGCTTTAGCCACCATACCTTCATGCTCTTCAAACAAAGGAGTTGGAGCCAACAAAATATCCAGACTTCTAACAGAATCAGGCAAGTCTAAACCAACCCCTCCAACAACAGGCAACAAAATCTCTTACCATCAGCCTTGCCAACCACCATCACCTCTGTCTTGCCCATATTCAGTTTGTTGTCTCTCAGTCACTTTAGCATAGCTGACCCACACTAATAAGCAGTCTCCACTGAAAATATTGGTTAGGGATGGGACACAAGTACTTGCTTTCCAACATTTTAAAGCAAGTGGTTTCTAAGGGTTTCCTTAGATTAGAACATCATTCACATGATCTTGTCAAAAACAGAAGTGATATTAATTTATCACAACCCCAGAAGGAATTACACGCTGTGTATATTAATTTTCTTTGGACGTGAATGTCAGGGATCAAGACCCTGGAGGTCCCTTCCAACTCTATGATTCTAACACAGATTGCAAAAGAAGATTGATATGGTCCCAGCCAATGACAATAAAAGAAAAGAGTTAGGCTTTCCAAATCTTGGATTGTTTCTTCCTCTGTTTAGATTTAAAAGAAGCATAGCTGAAGATCATATATAGATTGGTATCTTATTCCTGAAGATTGAATAGAATGTATAGATGTAATATGCACAGTTGGAAACGTTCATCAGATACCACTTGGTCACGCCCGTAAATTTCTACTGAGACATGGTTTTGAGGTGACCTCAAAGCGATCTGAAAGTTCTGTGATTACCATTTCACATAATCCCTCGATGTCACAAGCAGTGAATGATGACTGTCAATGCGTAGCACACCCTTGTCAGTTCTCAACACACAAGACTAGAATCAGGCACACTGGATCATAAATGTCCCTGCTCAACTAACAGTTAGTGACTCACACTTCTATTAGCTGAATACCAAGAGTCTCTTTCACACATGCCTATCACTGTAGTTATTTCAAGTCAGACAATCTTGTCCCCTTTTCACTCAGTTTCTTACAAAATTCTGGGATCTGCATATATTTACCGATTAATAATTAAACAAATAAATTGAGCCCAGTCCTTCTAAACCCTCCTACTTATTGAGATCATTTGTCTGGACCATCCTTTCATCATATGGGTTTGCTGAGCCCAATCCTGAATTCAGTGGCTGGAGAAGGGAAGAGAGTTAACCTACCACTAGTTTATATAGTAGTTCATGGTCCTCATGTACATAGATAGGTAAAGAGGCTAAATTACATTCTTATACATTGATGTTTTATCCAGGAAAGAATGTAATAAGATACCTGGTGTCCACCATTTCTAAATGAGGATCCAAAGGAACTGTCTCAGTTGTTATTTCTACTTTTCGTACACTTCCAAAGAAGTCAGTTATCAAAACATTTTCAGGATCTCTCTGAAACAGGTCTGTACGATGGCCAGGTGTAGACACGCACAAACTTTTAGGACACACCTGAAACTTTAAAGGAGACAAACATACATTAGTCCTGACATGTGATTGTTCAAATGCTATACTGGGAACAGTAAAAAAAACACAACAGTTACACCATTAAACAACTTGAGTGAATAAGCACAGTGGCTGGAAAGTGTGACCTGCATCAAGGCCATGCAAATTATGAGCATTAAACAAAATGTGGACCACCAGCAGTTTGATGAAGTTTCTGGTTTTGCTACATGCCTGGAATTATTTATTTATTTGATTTATTAATTGCCCTATCCCAGCTTGCACCAGGCTCTGGGAGATGTACAAAAGGCACAATGCCATAAAACAAAGATACAAAATCTAAAATTTCCACATACAGTTTTATAAGAACTAAAACTAGAGTAAAAAGATCCAATATATCAACTTCCAAATTTCTATTCCAATTTTGGACTGCCCAGCCATTTAATTGGAAGGGGGTAGAGGGAACTATGGTTTGTCAATATGTGTAAGACATGCCTAGCTCTGCTAACTGGCTTCTACATTTTGTATTATTCCTAGACTCCAACTACAGTCAAGCAAGTCAAAACAATCCACCCCTTATAGACAAAATACACCAGGAAAACTCATTCAAAACTACAAGACAGACATTATTCAGGTGCATGTCTTATCTAGAATTCTTTATATTCCATGCTTGTGTCTTGTTCAGGCAGTATTCCTGTTAGCCAAATTGCTCCTTAAGGGAAACAACCGGTACAGTTATTATTATCGGGATTCTTCCGTCTATGTTTACGGAGGATGGCACTGTTTCCGAGGTTCCCAATGAAAGACTGAGGCAAACTTCCTTAATAAAAATGAGTTTACTGACACACTTCACTTAATAATACACAACATTCACAGACACACAATATAGAACTATAAGGAAGCAGAGGTGATTGATAGCTTATAGAGATAGCTTATAGAGGGGTGATACAACCTGTCCAGATGTGCAGAGGTCCATAGATTGTGGCCTAAACTCAGAGAGTTTAGGGGTGGACTGCCATTTTTGATTATGGCAGAAAACACACGGGCTGAAGCCATGTTTACGCTGGGATATACCCTATGGAAGACAATGCAGACCAATGCCTGGTCCTGGGGGCTGGCCTCAGGTGAGAACAATAGATTTCCTGGACCAATGATGAGTCCCAGGGGTGTGTGGCATCAGGATGGGCAAGGCCTAGATGTGACCAATGAGCTTCCAGAGAGGCAGGGTCTGGATTTAACAATAGAAGCCAAATGCTGGGTGGCTAGTTGAATGGATTATCTGACCACTAATGGCCCTGGCCAGGGTAAACAAAAGGTGGGTCCCTGATTAGCATCAGGAAGGATTGTTAATAATTTGAATATTTGATTGGTTTATCCCGGTATCTTGAGGGACAGAGTAGAAAAGACAAGTATTCAGACAAAGAATTAAATAGACTTTAGAAATGTAGATACTTTACCTGCTAGAACTCATTGTTATTCTATAAGCATAATCTCTGCCGGGTGGAGGGAAGAGACTGGAGGCTTGCTCTGAGGTTGCCTGTCACCTGAAAATGGAGACCCCTTTTTCAGAGCTGTGGCTAGCTCTGTGTTTCAGAACCAAGAGTGCCTTCCTTGGCCTGAGTTTTGTGGGTCTCTGGATCAGGCTAGAAGTGGGGTGCCCCTGCTATTGGGGCTACCCAAGAGTAAAAAGCAGCACCTCTGGCAACATTCCGCTACAATTTTAAACTAAAGGCTTCATTCTTTTAGCAGTAAGAACACAAACATTAGTCACTGACTCTGCTCTATGTCACTACGCAAACTGTCAGTGTGGGCTGCTTATTGCAAAATTAATACCATCTTATCTAGCAATACAGTTACACCAGCCTCCATTGTCAAGATGCTGGGAACTGCATTTTAACAGCAGCTCAATTTTAAAAAAATCTGACGATTTTATATATATAAAACAGCTGCTTTACAAGGATTTACAAAAATGCAGAAGTTTCATAGGATCTAGCCCTGACCCAGAATCGGATCATCTACAAATGACTGCACACAAGGTTCCCCCACAAATATGCAGTGTGCTACGGGCAAGCGGCAGCCCCCTTCTTTGCCATGACCAACTACCAAGATGGATGTTGATCCCTGACTTTCTGATTGCAGCAACGAAGCTGCTCCACTATGTAAGGAATCCTGAAACAGAAGCATGTCTGCTTGCTTCTTATATTTTTCAATTCTAAGTGTTCTTTGTATTTTTTTTTAACTTCTGTTGTTTCTTATGTTAAGATGGCAACAGTCTTTGGACATCAACAATAAATAAACCTAACACACAATCCAGACATGCTTAAATTCAGATTTCTATTTTTGTATGACTGATTTTTTCTCTCCCTCACATGTTATGCTTACTCTGCATGCTGGTCTTAAGACCATAATAATAATAATAAACTAAAACTAAACTAATCCATACATGTTTATCCTGTCAAATCACTGTCTAGAGAAGACAGAAAACCCAAATCAGGTATGCTGATTTCTTCACAGATGCATTATCCAAAAAAATTTCAGCATATCCTTACTGCCTTGACATACTTCTGAGCATGTACAATATACAATTTCTCAAGAACTAGATAAAAATTAGCTAGGCCTCATCCATCTTAAAAACTTCAAGCAGAGGTGTGTGTGTCCACCAAGCAGAATGAAATCATAGCATTTAGTTAGCATTTAACATTGCCAAATGTATATTCATAGCTAAGAAATTGGCAGCACACTTCCTCTCCCTACCCACATACACTACCCTTCAGTATATAAATTCTTCATTCATATACGCCTTACAGTTGTCTTACATGATGTCAGAACATTGGTCCATCTGGCCTGTATGGCCACCACATCTCCTATGTCCCTAACAGAGATTTGTCCAGCTGCACTACTCGAGATGAATAGATAAAGACTAAATCTAAGTCTTTATATACATTGAACCATGGTCACTTATCCCAAATGAGTTTCATTATCACAAGTCCAAAGTTAACCATTATTGGGGCTAATCAAGGTTCCCACTTAGCCACAAAACTGAAATAATTACTATGAGATTGTGTAAAGTCATTTGTTACACTTTTCATTAAAATCAAGGACAGATTTGCAACCTCCAGAATTTCAGCCCTCTGATTCAATAAACTAGCTTGGACCTCACGCAGTTTCTGCACATGCAAGAAGGAGCACATGTTGCCCATTCCCCCCCCCCAATAAAATAGTGGTCACCTACAAGCCAGAGTTGATGCGAATGTAAGGAAAAAAGAAGCTTTGAAAGTGTTTGCACATCTAAACATTTATACCTTAGTTGTGAAACAGTTGTGTAAAGAACCAACTTATTTGCACTTACAAGGTCATTCATGTTAGTCTGGCTAGCTGGATGAATTTCTTCCAAAAACTCCAAGACATAAAATGTATATCTATCCATCAAATGGACTCCAATCCCAAGATCTGGCTGATGCTGAAAAATTAAGCATAGCATAGACACTATTGAATGTGCAACACAGAAACAGCACTTAGCTGTATCGAGCAAAGAGTACCATGTATTTCCCATGCTTGTATGCTACCCTCTGTGGAAAAGCATATTATCCAAGACATGACAGAAAAGACAGCTAACTATTAAAAAGCCATTGCAAGAACTCAAATATAAATAAATCAACATCTTGTACAACAACATGCCTACACAGCTGGCCTGTGCTTGGCCCTATTTAATTTCCCCACTGCTTAAAGATGCCAATGACTCAGTCATTGCAGCCTTATTTTAAATCTCTGCACAGCTGGAATTAACAATATCCTTCTAATAGCCAAAGTAAAGGATGCTGTAGCAATCCAGAATGGCACTCAACGTAGGTAATAATGGAAAAACAAAGCTGGATAGCGAGGGAAACTGAAGGTGGAGCAAGGGGTAAAAAGGTCTCTCTGCGGCTACTGGGACAATTCCCTGTGTCTCTCCTGACACAGGAAAAAAAGTTCCTGTACACCTCCGTTCTAGGAATACATGGAAAGAAGAAACCCAGCAACCTCCGAAACTGTGTCTTGGCAGAGATAAGAGGCTGAAATGAGAGGGGCACATAGAAAACTGAGATTGCATTAAGACTGCATTATGAGTGGAAGTGAAATGATATTTGATTTGCTGGGGAGGGTGTTCTGATAGGGTGCAAAAAGGTGGGGTAGTGAAGAGGGGAAGAACAAAGTGTGGGAGTTTAATAAGAGCTGGGAGGGGGGAAAGAAGAATGGTAGTGGGAGTCTGAAGGCAAATGCTGTGTAATGGTCTAAGGCAGTAAAGGGGTGCGACAGAGACAGAGGAGTGGTAATGGAAGGGGGAGTGAAAGAAACTGGATCTGAAAGGAGAATGGGTGTTGGAGTAGAAAAGGAAGTTGATGGGGCAAAGTGTGTAAAGGATACACTGGGAGAAAGGAAGATTGTAAGGCAACAGTAATCTCTGGGGAAAGGAGAAAAAAGAATGCTAAGAGATGTCACAACTGATGATGGAAGAAACTCGCCATTAATAATTACCATTTGTTCCCAATGGGGATCACAGCAGCTTACAACATTGTTCTTCCCTGTGCCCATTCATCTTAATATCATGAGGTAGGTTAGGCTGAGTAACCAGCCCAAACAGGGGTCTCTTCACACTTAGTATGACACTCCAGCCACTACATCAAGCTGGTGAACTTTCTACTTCCCTTTCCACACCCACCAAATCCCAGCCCTGCTTCCTGAATAGGATATCTCCCTGTGCCCAATTCTTCATTTCTCTACAAAAGGCCCATTTTTTTATTTTTTGAAAAATCTTAGTTTTTCCAAAAACTAGAATAATAGTAAGCTTAAATCCATTTAGAAAAGTCTGCCTAGCTGGTAGAATTTATTCTTGGCACATAACTTGGAAGGATTCAGAGATTTTCATTATGGAATTCTAAGCCCCATATGTCTAAATATTGTTAACAATAGAACAGAAGCTACATACTTACTGAAAGTGAGTCTTCTCCCACCTGGCTACTAGCCAAAGCCATTATATTAGGAGAATAAAACCTTTCATACATGGATGCACCTTGGCATGTATCAATGATAAACAGCAACTCGTTGTATCTGGAAGGAAACAAACACCTTTTCTGTCTGTCCTGTGTCAATCCTGAGTGTTCAGACTGTTAACTTTGTCCCAAGACCGTCGATTAGGAGCCAGCTAGCTGAGCATTTTAAACTTTCTACAATTATCAAGCATCTACAGATGCTTAGAAAATGAAGTCCTTTACAATAAAGAAGATAATGGATTTTTTCCTGTGAAAATCCACAGGCAGTTTCATGCATTACTGTGAACAAAAAGCTACTTAGCTATAATAATTCAAGTCAAAGGCCATCCAGAGCCATATGGCATTATGGCATTAACAGACATAATTCACTGTTGGAAGCACCCATTTTAGTGGGCCTGAAAATAACTGCACAGATGGTTCAAGAAATTCTAATTCCTGAAGTAGTCAGAAAGACTCTAAATAATATGCTCTATATTAACATGTCATATCAACAGGAACACTATTTTGAAGACAAGAGGTGATTTCCTGATAGAGCATAATTAATCCATTGGAATTATGAAGAAGAGGAGATTGGATTTATATCCCGCACTTCACTACCCAAGGGAGTCTCAGAGCGGCTTACAAACTCCTTTCCCTTCCCCTCCCCACAACAGACACCCTGTGAGGTAGGTGGGGCTGAGAGAGCTCTGACAGAAACTGCTCTTTTTCAAGGACAGCTCTTACCAGAACTATGGCTTGCCCAAGGTCATCCAGCAGGTGCAGGTGGAGGAGTGGGGAATCAAACCCGGTTCTCCCAGATTAGAGTCCGTGCACTTAACCACTACACCAAACTGGCTTTCTAGAGATTAGAATTATTTGAAATAAGAAAAAGCAATATAAAATAAGCTTGTAAATAACCAGTCATCTCTATATGACCCGGAAGGGATGACTTCGTAAACCATGAGAAGTTTTTTCCTTCATAGCAACAGGGTGCAACACGTGATACCATAGTTAGCTTTGGGAAAGACAGGTTAGAAAAAAAATGGGTAGCCAAATACATTTGAAAGGCTGGAATAAGGTATTACCTTCTTTTCTGCCACATTTGTTCAAAAGCATCTGCAAGTTCAACATTAGTAATTTCTTCAGAATCTTGAAATTTCAAGAAACCATTCCCACCATGACCTTGCAAAGAAAAGTAGATCGTTTATTATTTAAAGACTTTTTAAAAAAACTACAGCATACTGTAGCCTACACTGAAACAGCTATATATCTATATCGATTGATCGATAGATATTCAGACAGACTCTGTCTCCCACAATATATGCAAAGAATTTAAAGGGGATAAGAAACGGGGGACATGAAACTGTCCACCCACAAGTACCCAGCCCTTGGCAAGTCTGTATTTTTTTTAAGAATTAAGATTTCTGGGTAACCCATTTTTCTCTTTCCTTCTCCCAACCACAATCACTACCATTGCACACATTTCCTTGGGATCTATGGGAATTATTCTTCCCCAGACTACTGACAATGTAACACAAATAAGATTTTACAGGTCTAGCTCTTAGAAAATCTCTCAATGTAAAGCACTTCATTTACACATGTTTTACACATTGGTCAGGATTAGGAAACAAGCACTTTGACATAATTCATGTTTTCCCAAAACAGTATAATCCTGAACACACTTCTAACTCATAGAATCATAGAATCACAGAGCTGGAAGTGGCCATACAGGCCATCCAGTCCAACCCCCTGCTCAGTGCAGGATCAGCCTAGAGCATCCCTGACAAGTATTTGTCCAGACGCTGCTTAAAGACTGCCAGTGAGGGGGAGCTCACCACCTTTCTAGGCAGCTGGTTCCACTGTTGAAGAACTCTTACTGTAAAAAAGTTTTCCTAATATCCAGCTGGTACCTTCCCCCATTACTGTGAATCCTATCTTCTGCTGCCAACAGGAGCAGCTCCCTACCCTCCTCTAAGTGACAGCCCTTCAAATACTTAAAGAGAGCAATCACATTCCCCCCTCAACCTCCTCTTCTCCAGACTAAACATTCCCAAGTCCCTCAGCCTTTCCTGTTAGGGCTTGGTCTTCAAGCCCCCGATCATCTTCATCGCTCTCCTCTGCACCTGCTCCATTCTATCCACATCCTTTTTGAAGTGAGACCTCCAGAACTGCACACAAATACTCCAGGTGCAGCCTGACCAATGCAGTGTACAACAGGTCTATCACATCTTGCGATTTGGACGTTATGCCTCTGTGATACACCCCAAGATCACATTAGCTTTTTTGTTGCTGCATCACACTGGCTGCTCATATTTAACTTTTGGTCCAGCTGTACACCAAGATCTTGTTCACACACACTGCTATTCAGAAGCGTATCCCCCATCCAGTATGTGTGTTCCTCATTTTTGTTCCCCAGATGTAGAACCCTGCACTTATCCTTGTTAAATTGCATCTTGTTCACATCCACCCACTTTCCCAGTGTGTTCAGTTCTCCATGAATTCTATCCCTATCTTCTGGTGTGTTTGCTGCTCCTCCCAATTTGATGTCATCTGCAGATTTAATGAGTAGCCCCTCCACACTCTCATCCACATCATTTATAAAAATACTGAAGAGTACCAGGCCCAGAACTAAGCCCTATGGCACCCCACTAGACACCTCCCTCCATTCAGATGAAATGCCTCTGACAACTACTCTCTGAGTGCAGTTCTCCAACCAGTTCCCTTATCCACCTAACTATCCTAGGGTCCAGTCCACAGTCCTCTAGTTTACCCATCAGAACCCTGTCAAAAGCTTTGTTGAAATCCAGGTAAACAACATCAACAGCATTCCCTCAATCCAGTAAACTCGCCACTAGATCAAAGAAGGAAATTAGTTTGGTCTGGCAGGAACTGTTGGAGAAAAATTCATGCTGACTTCTCCAGATCACCAAGTTGTCCTTTAGATGCTTGCAGATTGAGCCATTTAAAATCTGCTCCAGTATCTTCCCTGGGACTGACTGGCCTGTAGTTTCCTGGGTCATCCCTCCTCCCTTTTTTGAAAATTGGGATAACATCTGCCCTCTTCCAGTCTTTTGGCACATCTCCCATCCTCCAAGCACTTTATGACTGTTTGGATTTTATGACTTTTTTATAATTGTTATTTTATATGTCTTTTATGTAAGCCGCCCTAAGCCTGCCTCGGCGGGAAGGGCAGGGTATAAATTGAATAAATAAATAAATAATAGGTCTGGAAGATGATGGACAAAGGCTCTGCAAGATCTCTAGAAAGTTCTTTGAGCACTCTTGGGTGCATACCATCTGGCCCAGGGGATTTATACTCATTCAATGCAGCTAGGTGCTTCTCAATTATCTCTCTGTCCATGTCAACCAGCAGCCCAGACGCCATGCCTTGACTACCACCATCTCTAGATGAGCATGTTCTCTTCTTCAGGGGAAAAACTGAGGCAAAATAGGCATTGAGCCTTTCTGCTTTCTCTATCCTCTGTCAGAGTTTCTCCACTTTCACTTCATTCACTTCAGTGGATTCATAGGCCTGTAACTCTGCTTAGTGTTCTAGTTTACCATTTCAACATCCACACCAGTCTACTCTATTATACTCATGCAACTCCCAATGTGCTTTACACAAAACCCACTGGCTTAAAGAGGCCTAGTAATTCTCACTGCTTCTCATCTCAATTTATTAAGGAAGCCCCTGTGCCCCTCTGGAGCATCTGCTAGGCCAGAGTAGGAAACAGGATGTTGGACTAGAAGGACTAGAATCCTGATACAGAAAGGCTCTTCCTATGTTTTATGTTAAACCAGCACCTAATAAAAGTGTTCAGAAAGAAGAAAGTGTCTCAGTCCTTAGAAGCAAGGCCTGTGTGTGCCTGTAAACCCTTCATACCAACTCTCCCTCCCTACCCAGACAGGCTTTTGGGAAGGCAGAGACAGTGCTACGAGTCAGGCCTGAAATTCCAGAATTATTCATGTTTGGCGTATAAATGCTCCCAAGCTGAGGGAGCTCATATCCAAACTATACTGTCCACTTCCAAATTCTGGCATTATTTTATCCTAAATATACTCTGGAGTTTACTATAAAGAGTACTGGAAGAGGGTGGAAACACAACTACCTGTCATATATATAAGAATGTTGCTTCTGTCATCAGAAAGGAGACGTTTTGAGCGAGGTGCACTTGCTGGGATTCTTCCTGTCAATACTCGCAAAAAATTCTCGACGGTAACCTGAAGAAACAGCATCCTCTATGAATACTATGCTGCATGTGCAAATAATGGTATTAGACAGGGCCCTCAAAATAACCACCCAGTAAAATGCATGCTAATAGCTCAGTAAAGTTCAATAGCAGATCAATAACCATTGGTTGCATTGCCAGAATTTATCATAACCAAGCACACAGTTTTTTATTCCATTAAATTTAGTATTTCATTAATGAAGACTAATAAACTTTTATTACTGAAACGTATGATATCAAGCACACATTTGCCACCCTTCCATTCTTTATAATACATTTTCATCAGTCTGAACACCTGTCACACTGTGTAGCTTTATCTGTGTGAACCTACTTATGCTTGCTTACCCAGCAGCATTAACATGGCAAAATGTTAATAATGTATTTTAAGGCATATAATCCCTATGAGACTCTGGGGGAATAAGATGCCAGTGACAGAAACATCTGACCAGAAACTGTCCATCTGACCTGCAAGTGAAAAATCTCTGTAAAATATCACAGCTGCTAGTTTTGAATACAGATTTATAGCAGCTCAAACAACACTAAAATAATCAGGGTCATGACAGCTGTTAACTAAAACCAAGGTTTTAGTACACATCACAGCAGATCAATTCTGTTTTAAGAAATCAAATTACAAGATCCAGACTCCAGCACTCAGTAATTTCTGACAATTTTCTTCTAATAGACCTGCCTTTTAACATGGGCATTGAGAAGATGCTAAGGGGTCCCTTTAAGAAATGCCTAGAGTTAAAACTTAACCAACATCTGTATAACAAGAAAGACACACATCCAACTGATAAGCTTTTCATTTTTCTACAATCATTTGGCATGCTAAAGGTTTATTACCGGATCACTTAGTGAAAAAGTTACTGGTGTGCTGTCATTATTAAATCACTCTCACATTCCATATGTAATAAGCCTATTCATTAAGTCTGAAGAAACAGGTCTGAAGCACAAGGGCTGACATGTTTACACAAAGAAAAGTAAATTCATCCATAAGAGATCCCCACCCCATGCACGCTCTCTCTCTCTCTCTCTCTCTCTCTCTCTCTCTCTCTCTCTCTCTCTCTCTCTCTTCCTGCAATCAGTGCAGCAATAAGAATTTTGCTGTATGAGCAGCTTGGTGTGTGATAAAATGTAATATGCTTGGCATAAGGTAACAGGCATAGCCTGCTTATTTCTATAAAGTACTCACCTGGCCACCCATTACAAGAAAATTTCTGCCAGATGACTAAGCCTATCAATTTGCCACAAATACATATGTGTATGTGCAGTATACCTACACACACACACTGTGTGGGAGGGGGAGAGTAATTTTTCTGTCTGTACTTTCAAGGCTGACGCAAGTTCTCTGAAAAACAGCTCTTAGGTCTCAAACCCAATTATTCCCAGTTAAGGTAATGAAATATTATCAATATTACGTAAACAGTTCAAATATTGATATAAAAACAATAGTTGAAATATAATTTCCAAACATTTAAACTGAGACATTTATGGGTCTTAGAACTGTTTTTATTGTGTTTTTATAATATTGTATTTATATTGTAAGCCACCTTGAGTTCCTCAAGGGAGAAAGGTGGCTAACAAATGTTTTAAATAAATATCCCCTAAATATAATTGGAAAAGCTGTATGTATCCGCAATGTTTCAATGCTGTAATGGTGGTAAAAAGTGTCATCAAGTCCCAGTCAACATAGGTTTTCAAGGCAAGAGACATATGAAAGTGGTTTGCCATTGCCTGCCTCTGTGAAGTAACCCTGGACTTCCCTGGTGGGCTCCCATCCAAGTACTAATGAGGGCCGACCCTGCTTGACTCCCAAGATCTGGGCTACAAAATAAAAATACTGTCATACCCACTTGCAAAGATGCAATGTATTACAGAAACATAAACAGATGAAAAAAAATCAATTCAGTTTTTGACAATAGTTTCTGAACCGC